AGCAAAAAAAAAAAAAATTCTCAAACAGCTAAGGTGTTTAAAGAATTTAAAATTTAACAAAATAAATTTTGGATAATGAGAATTAAAAGAGAAATATATATATAAACTCTTATCTTTAAAGCAAAAAAAAAAAAAATTTCTCAAACATTTTTTAAAGAAAATAGCTAAGGTGTTTAAAGAATTTAAAATTTAACAAAATAAATTTTGGATAATGAGAATTAAAAGAGAAATTTATAAATATTTCTATTAAACCTTTTAAATTTTCAGTTAAAATTTTTAGAGTTTTTCTATCCTACCCTAAGAACATAAATTAAAAGTGTAATAAATATATCACTTTACAATTAATTTATATAAAAATAATAAAAGTTGACTTAAATTTAATCAATTGACTAATTAAAACTATTTATGTGACAATAACACTAAAATAAAAGTTAACTTTTATTTTTTTTATGTAAATTAATTGTAAGAAGACACATATATTACACCCTTAATCTGTACCCACATATTAAACAAACCCAAATTTTTTATTAAGAACTTAACAAAAGAAATTAACAGTAATATTTAATTTAGCAATTTTAAAAAGACGAAGAACTACAATTGTTTTTTTTTTTTTTGAACATGAGAGAATTTTAGGAAACGAGAGATTTTTTTTCAAATCGTTGGTGGAAGTCACAAACTCTTAATCAAGTAAACCCAAACACTAAAATTTATAGTCGAATCATTGAATCCAAATGCCCAGTTCAAGAACTACTTTTGTTTTAAATAAAAAATTGTGAGAATATTTAATATTTATGATAAAAATTGAGAGTTGAATTTAATATCTAAAAATATATTAAAGCAAAACCAAAAAAGCTTCTTTGTGTTCACACTATCTGTTTACACCTGTTCACACTTATGAATTAGATAATTTTTCCTTTAAAACTTTGACAAACATTTATTAGTTTGCCTAATCTATTATCAAATGCTTTTTTGTGTTCACACTATGTGTTTACACCTGTTCACACTAGGTGTTCACACTAGGTGTTCACACGATGTGTTCACATCTATTGACATGTATGAATTGGATAATTTTCCTTTAAAACTTTGACAAACATTTATTAGTGTGCCTATTCTATTATCAAATGCCTCATTTTTGTCTTATATTTCTAATGTGCTCAAAATTTATGTTCATCTACTGATTTCAAATTCTGCAGACTTTTGTTTTCCCAATTCTTTTTCATAATCTATCCAATAAATGTTTTTCATTTGAAGGGCCTTTTCTGCATGCATATATAATAGGCAGAATACCCAAATCCACCCCCAAAGTATAGTGGCAAGGACGGATCCACCATCGAACAAAAAATAGGAACAAATCCACCCACAAAGTTTTCGACTTGGACAAATCACTCCAAATTTAACATGTGACATCATTTGACATTAGCAATCTGTTAATTTGGCATCATCTGACGTCAGCAATCCGTTAACGAATTAACGAATTGCTGATGTCAAATGACGTCACACGTTAAATTTGGGGTAATTTGTCCAAATCGAAAACTTTGTGGGTGGATTTGTCCCCGTTTTTTGTTCGAGGGTGGATCCGTCCCTGCCACTATACTTTGAGGGTGGATTTGGGTATTTTGCCTATATAATATTATACCAATCATTGTTTTTTTCTTTTAGTATCATAGAAAGCATACAAATCCTAATGGCTAACAGGTTCAATTTTATCAAAGATCTTAATCCTTCTAAAGAGGGATGGAGGATAAAGGTTAGAGGAATTAGGCTTTGGAGGCAGAAGAATTCTCGGTAGCTAAAACTGTATGATAATATTGAACTGCTTCTTTTAGATGAACTGGTAAGTATTTTATGTTTTGAATTTCGGCTTTCATTAGGTATTCTAAAGTTTGTTTTTTTTTAATATCTCCTACTTCTAGCACTTTTACATGTTTTGTTTGAGGAGGATTCAAGCAACTCTTAAGCCTTTTTTGCATTTTAAGGATAATTTTACTAAAGTAGAAGTTTATACAATTTCAAATTGTGGTGTTTCTT